GGATTTTCGACAATGTCTCAGTATTGTACCGCATGCTATGTGATCTAAAGTACTGTAATGTTTGGGGATGTTTCAGAAAGTTGTCTCTTACAACAAATAAGAGATCAGAGGATTCTGCTTATAGTGGATGGTTAGTAAAACTTGGAGATGGCAAACTTAATAGTTTTTATTTAGGAATGGATATTGAAATCCCATGTGAAATGATCTGTAATGGATCTATTATTAAAGCTACCTTTGGAAATACTATATCTATAGATAATATTAAAAATATATCTAAACATGCAATTCTTTGTCCAAAAAATGAGCATGTTCAAATATTAAATGAAGAAATTTTGGATATACTCGATGGAGATTTTCACATATATTTGAGTGATGATTCCATTGATTCTACAGATGATGCTGAAAAGGAAAATTTCCCCATCGAATTTCTTAATAGCATTACTCCTTCGGGAATGCCGTGTCATAAATTAAAATTGAAAATGGGTGCAATCATCATGCAATTGAGAAATCTCAATAGTAAATGGGGTCTTTGTAATGGTACCAGATTTATTATCAAAAGATTACGACCTAACATTATCGAAGCTGAAGTATTAACAGGATCTGCAGAGGGAGAGGTTGTTCTGATTCCAAGAATTAATTTGTCCCCATCTGACACTGGCCTCCCATTTAAATTGATTCAATGACAGTTTCCGTAATGCCAGCATTTGTGATGACTATTAATAAATCACAAGGACAAACTCTAGACAGAGTAGGCATATTCCTACCCGAACCCGCTTTCACACATGGTCAGTTAGTTATATGTTGCTTTCTCTCGAGTTTGAAGAGCACGTGACATTACAGTTAAAGTTCTAAGTACTTCATCACAAGGAAAATTAGTCAAGCACTCTGAAAGTGTTTTCACTCTTAATATGGTGTACAGGGAGATATTAGAATAAGTTTAATCACTTTATCAGTCATTGTTTGCATCACTGTTGTTTTTATATCATGTTTTTGTTGTTTTCATATCATGTTTTTGTCATTTTTATATCATGCTTCTGTTGTTGTTATATCCTTTTGTTACTGTTTATTAATAAATTTATATATTATTTTCATATACATTTTACTAAGTTCCTTTTATCTCTCACACTTCTATTATAGAGAAAGGGCAAACAGCAATATTAAAATATCTCCGCTAATTATTTCCCTTTTAATGTGCACAAATTTCATGCACAGGGCTAGTAGTTTGAAGATAATACAACAAAAGGCCACACAACATGTTCTGTGACAAAGGGAGTCACTCCAAACAAAGGAAGTCACAGTTATCTGGAAGTTAATTAAGTAAACAAGATGGGCCTCTCCAGCTGGTGACTCTAAGTTCCAGAGATATGTTTCCAGTTCCAAATCTCTTCTAGTTCTGCCTGCAGTTTGGAACTACCAGGCAATCAGTTGATGAGCTTGATTCAGGATCAGTGACAGAGGAGGTTGCTCTAGGAGTCTCCAGGTAGGCCAGTGACCATGTCCTCAGTCACAGGACGCCTGGCCAAGACAATACAGTACATGGGGCTCCCCCTACTCCTCTCCACTGCTGCCTAAGACAAGTTTGACTGATGAATTATTGCCAAGTTTGCTCTCCCCACTATAACCTTGAAAAATATATAAACTTAAGGTAGCTAGAGATGCAACAGAGTACCAAAGCCAATTGTCAATTGTATAATAACCTACTTTGCATTAATACAGGGGCCTTTTGTGAGCTTTTTAAATTTTTTTAAACCTATAAAGCACTTAAAAGTCTATAGTTTCATAAGCATTAAATGAGTGTTAGCTAATATTATTAGCCCAGTAACCCCTTCCCAATCTTAGTGCTTGAATTCCTCCCTATTTTCAAAAGAGCTATGCTACTTTAACACCATTTTCAATTTTCCCAAATGTTAGGGAGATCACGGAAGCCACTTTGCAAAAGGGATCTTATATTTCCTCCAACTCCCAACATGAAATAAGAACTCCCAAAAAATCTTATTCAAAACAACCATAATTTAAATGAGTATACAGATAAAGAGAAATAAATATAACGCTTATTTATTTTTCAAGTCCCAAAGAAATTTAAATGAGGCAAAAAGGAGAAAATAGTGGTGTAATTAGACACTTTTATAAGTACATATTGAAAAAATCTGTCTGAAAGCACACCTATTTTAAAGCTAAGCAAATAGTATGTAAAATAATTGGTTTAACATGCATGGGATAGTAAGGACTGGTATGTATACTAGTACATCATAATTCTCTGCTCAATTTGTAAGACATCTTAAACTTGGAAATTAAAACCTTGATAAGAAGAAACAGCTTTCTTACACACTGCCATTCTTGGACTAGCCATATGGGTTTGATCTTAATGTTATTGTTTGAACAAATGAAAGCAATGACTATTCTATAGCCCAGTGATGGCGAACCTATTACATGCATGTCAGAGGTGACACGCAAACTCATTTTTTTGGTTGATTTTTCTTTGTTAAATGGCATTTAAATATATAAAATAAATATCAAAAATATAGATCTTTGTTTTACTATGGTTGCAAATATCAAAAAATTTCTGTATGTGACACAGCACCAGAGTTAAGTTAGGGTTTTTCAAAATGCTGACATGCCGAGCTCAAAAGGTTCACCATCACTGCTATAGCCCAGTATTATGTAGAAATGCCTCCTAGTTTGGAATTTTTTATTTTTCTCTGTTTTTCCATGTTTCCATTTCTTTAACAATGCATAAAATTGGTTTAATAGCTTGAAAATGTTACTTGGTTTAATAGCTTAAAATAGCTATTGATAGATACCTTTGTGGAGGTTTCATTTTTTGTTTTCAGGTAATAGCAATCAATTAGATAAAACAATCATTTTCTAGGCAATGTGGCCCATCAACAAATTAGGAAAAACAAACAAACAACCACCATGAAAAGAGAATATCACTCTATAAGATTCTTACAGCTATAAAAAAACAAACGCATGAGGCTCACCACAACTAAAGTACAACCAAAACGCTCAACCTTGGCCCATTAGCATTACATTTGCTTATCAATCTCATCTTTGTTTTCTGAAATGTCAAATAACTTTTGACCCCAATTCTATGTATATATAAAAGGCTAATATGCAAAGTGTCCCCTCAGGAGTTCAACCGGAAGACTGGGAGTTCAATGGCTCGCTATGATGTGCGCTGACCACCAGGGGGTGGCGCAGAATGAAGGAAGGCCCCAGTCAGCGGCCGGCAGCCGGGGAAGGAAGGCCCTGGCTGGCAGCCAAAAGGCCCTGATCAGCCCTGATCTCTGGTCAGGCCTAGGGACTCTACCCGTGCACGAATTTCATGCACGGAGCCTCTAGTTTTCTATACAAAGGAAAACTGCACAGAATTCATTTGTACTTGATTTGAAGGAGCCAGGGAAGGAGGGAAGTACACAGCACAGAATACACTGAACACTATTAAAGGAAATGATATCTGGAGGTTGCAAATCATTATTATCTCTAATACATTAGCAAAGTCCTACTGACCAAATTGCCTGCAAAAACAGGTTATTTCTGCCAAGTGCCTAGTCTGGTTTCTCACACCATTTTATTTCAAAAGCATTTTATGAGAATCTGCTACATATTCTACCTCCCATCTGGTTCACATTTAACAATGTATCCCACCCTGTTCCTTTTTAGACTCCAAAAACAGATGTCCCCAACATCACATGAATATGGCAGGTCACACTGCATCAGCTAACTTTTCTGGCTTCCTTTTCTTCTCTTGCAGTTAAGGTGAACTTGAGCTATTTGCAACCTTTTGTGTCATCTCACTTCAGAAGTAATAAAAAGGGCCCAAGTACTTTAACTCATAAAATAAAGAAGATTGGTGGGTATTTACAGGAGATCAAACAGGAAAGCAGGGCAGGCTCCCACCTAACAAGTTTCCTAATGAGTTTACATTCTCATCCGGTGAGGCAGGGTAGACTACCCAGGAAGGAAGAGAACAGCAATGCTTCTTCTTGAATTTACTCCTGAGGCTTACATGGTGCCCTCTGCCATCACTGTAATTACCATCAGGGAACTTTTATAATCAATATATATATCAGGAAGTTATGCACAGAGAATACAGATTAACATTCTCCAACATGAAGTACTTGCACATATTCCTTAAAGGACCTCTAAACATTTGTAGAGAAAAAAGTCATACTTGTAAATAGTTCTGTGATATGTATACATATATGTGTGTGTGTGTGACTATATGATTATATATTTAAAATATAAATAATTATACTCAGTGCCTGAAATTCAGGAACAAAACTATTAATACTAATTTTTATTCTACTGTACCTAATTTATATTTTTGGAAACATGATTAATTCAGAAATACTAACATCTGTGTAATAACATCTTGTATTGGAATTGAGTCCTACTGTATCATTATATTATGCTTAATTGAGCTTTTATTTATAGTTTTAATCACATATTTATAACAACTCAAATTTTGATAGTGCTAGGGATCCCTGTAGATAATAAACTATAAAAATTGCCAAAACCGGTTTGGCTCAGTGGATAGAGCATCGGCCTGCGGACTGAAGGGTCCCGGGTTCGATTCCGGTCAAGGGCATGTACCTGGGTTGTGGGCACATCCCCAGTAGGAGATGTGCAGGAGGCAGCTGATCGATGTTTCTCTCTCATCGATGTTTCTAGCTCTCTATCTCTCTCCCTTCCTCTCTGTAAAAAATCAATAAAATATATTTAAAAAAAAAAATTAATTCAAATGTCCCAAATGGATATCAACGTATGGCTTTTTTCTTAATTGTATATGAAATTATATACATGAAATAATTTAATGGGTATATGAGAAATTATATTCATGAAGTAATTTAATGGGTATAAGAGAAAATAACCACATGAATTGAAAAATGTTTTCTTTATGCCAAATGTACTAATAAATAAAATTGGTATAAGAAATGCTATTTACTCTACACTGTGATTGCTAATGTTTAACAGTAGTCCTATGAAATATTGCCTACCTGCCCCTTTCAACTGCTAAGGCATCCAGTTCATCAAAGAAAATAATGGAAGGAGCCACCGCTTTCGCTTTGCGGAAGATCTGGTGGAAAGAAAAGTGTCACGTTAGGGAAAGATCAGCAAACTCCAAAAAACTCCTGTCATTGGTTTTAGTTTGAAAACTGTTTAGAACTGAATCTATTATGTACAAGACAATCAGCCCAATCATTTTGTCTACAACCTATAATAGATGGATACACACTGCACAAAGGTAAGGCAACAATATGTATCCACAGAGGTCTGCCTGTAGAAGGTAATGTGACTAAGCAATCAAACAATCTCAGCTAAAATCCCAACTCCACCATTTCAGTAGTTGTATGACCTTCAGAGTAGATAACTTTACTTCTCTGAACTTCTATTTCTACATCTATAAAATGCAGATAATAATAAATGCCAGTCTCAGAAGATTCTTTTCAGAACTAAATAAAAAATAATAATAATGCAAAGCATTTAGTACAATGCCTAAAACATATTAAGAACTCAGTAAGTGGCAGGTATTATTAACTATAATCAACACATATTTAAAAGAAAAATCATACATGTGCAAAATCAACCATAGCTTAGCATATACAATACCCATAAACTCAAACCAAGCACCTTGTTCATGTCATTGAAGACTTTATGGGAAAGGAATAATTTATGGGACAAGAAAAATGGCCAAAACTTGGAAGGTCATTGGTTGGTTATACCACAAGTCAATCAAACTATCAACACCAGTGACTGGCCTGATAGCCATGAGTGTGACATGTGGAAATGGGTTAGAAAAAGCCCGCACAGACAGAAAGAAATCCAAACGTGTGTTACCTGAAATCTAGGCCCCCATTTTCTTGTCACAAGTATCATGACCATAAAAATACAAAACAGTTACCAAAGCATTAATATTTATAAAGATCACTTTATTTCATTTTAATTAATGATAGTGCTGTCATTATCAATTAATGTTTTATACAATTATCTTCACCTATATTTTAAAAGGAAAAAAGTAACTTAAAATGTTTTCTCAGATAAAAAGAAAGTGTTCCAATCTGTAACACTCAGGTAACTTCACAAGTGGAGACCATCCACTCCTCTGCTATTTGTGTGTTCTTGTCCTTGCTTAGCTTCTGTGAGGATAGAGGGTGCCTATGTGAGGCAGGCCCACCTCCGCTTGGGAAAGTCAAGACTTGTGGTCAAACTGCTGTTACCAAAATCCAGCACCTTGATTTTACATGAATTTAGTACATGTAGCTTCCGCAATATGAAGGAGTGGCCTATCACTTAGGCACCAGCTAAATAGGAGAATACAGTGGCATTTTCATATACTAAGCTTACTTGATTTAAAGGACTATCTAGTTTAAAGGATTTAAATCTCATTCTGAGATCATGTGTTCTTTGTAAGTATACACATGTCATTTCTAAAATAAAATGCTGGCAGTTGTTAAAAAATCTTTATTTGGCAAAATTAAAGGATGGTACTACTATGAGACTTAAAAACAAAATATTGTTGGTGGTCAAAAATGCATTTTTAAATAATAAAATAATATTTGCCTAAAGAAAAAATATACCACTAGAATTTAGATTTGAAAATTTCAAAATCTGTAACCCAAGCAAAATGGAAATCATACAGAGGACAGAAGTATGGTTCTCCTGTGCAGAGTTCCACTTTGCGGCATCATGTTCTTACCTCTCTAACAGCTCTTTCAGATTCACCAACATATTTATTCATTAATTCAGGCCCCTGCATGAGAAGAAAACATCTGTTTAGTTCTTTATAAATATAACCACGAGGAAAGAGCAAATACATACATGAAAGAAGAAAAGGGGGGGGGAATAAATAAAAATATGCTTATAATTAAATTAATTCCTTTAGCATGCTTATTCTCACTAGATGTTATTTGTGCCTCAACAAATTAAGCCATTCCATGTTCCAAAAACTTCACATCAATACAAAGGCAAAGCTGTGACAATAAACATCTTGTTCTCTGTCTACCCGTTGCCCCCATTTTCACCCTATATCAGGCACAGTGTTAGGGTTAGCTGCTAGCATGGGTACATATAGTACGGTCTGTGAGGCCCATATTTGCTCTTAAGTTAACTCTTTAAGAAAGTGATACATAAATCCCTAGAATAGATCAGATCAATGAGACTGGATAAGGTTATTTCTTTTCCAATTTTACTTACCAGATAACTATGGTGTGTCAGTCCTACCACATTCCACCTGTCTAGATACCATATGCTTCACTGATAAGGGTGATCAAGAAAACTACCAGAAGGGCCTTCAACCATGTGAGGACACAGCAAGAAGATAGCCATCTATGAACCAGGAAGTGGGATCTCACCAGACACCAAATCTGCTGGCTCCTTGATTTTGGACTTTGAGCCTCTAGAACTGTGAGGAATAAATACCCAATCTATGATATTTTTTTACAGCAACCTAAATGGACTGAGATACCATTTAAAACAGGGACTGGCAAATTTCTTCTGTAAAAGGCCAACTAGTAAATATTTTAGATTTTGGAATCCAAAAAAGGAAAGAAAAATAAAAGAAAAAGAAAACTACCAGTACCCTATACTGGCTTAGTTGAGGGTAGCATTATTTTGCCTGTTTCCATGGCTGAGATCAAGTGTTCAAGTTTACAAAACAACAGAAATAGCAAAATGCATGTAAAATATTTGTCAGGCTGTTGAATGTAGTGTGAACTAACCTGACTTATCTTTTACTGTTTCATTATTTTACACCATATCAGTCACAAATTCAAGGGCAATATTTATACCTCATACTCTTGCAATTTTGTCCCTTTAATCTACTGGGTTTCTTCCAGTCTTCCCAAGGGCTTTTTAAATGTGTCTGACACCTGCCTGTTGCTTTTGGCTATTACAATTCAAATCAAGTTTTTATAAGTTCTGAAATGTCTAGGGAAGGCAAGTTAACCTACGTGTTAACTATAGTTAAATGTTATGGAATATGCTCATAAAAACCCCAAACTCACATGAGATAGAATAACATATATGTAATATAAGTACAGGATCTTGAAAATTAATTTTAAAAAAACCAGCATCAGCACATACAGAAGGCCATTTTGGAAAAGCACTTCAAAAAATTTGAAAACAGGCATTACATACCAGGCCTTGGGCAAGTTTCTACTAAAAAGTGACAAAGGCTGACAGAGAAGGGAAGATAATTCAAGCTGTTCGTCTCAATAAGTATAATACAAACCTTCTCCATAATTCATTCACTCAGAAGAAAACAAAGAAATTTTAAGAACTTACACTGAGGACACCATGCTGACTCCAATTAAGCTAACAGTAAAGTGTACATGCCCACATGTCCACAAAAACCCTTAGTATGTTATTCCTGACTCTCTTGTCTCAATCTTCTTTACTATCTATGATCTTAAACACTGGGTCTCAACTTCCACACTCTTATCTCTAGAAATCACCATCCTCTTGAGCTACAAATCCATATTTACAATGGCTTTTGGGATCCATCTGCCATGTAGTTTTAAAGGCATCTCAGCCTGGCCAATGTGGCTCAGTGGTTGAGCATCAACCCATTAACCAAGAGGTCACTGGTTTGATTCCCAATCAGGGCACATGACCAGCAGGCTCAATCCTGGGTAGGGAGTGTGCAGGAGACAGCCGATCGATGGTGTTTCTCTCTCATTGATGTTTCTATCTCTTTATCTGTCTCCCATCCTTTCTCTCTAAAAATCAGTTAAAAACTTATTTTTTAGCCCTAGCTGGTTTGGTTCAGTGGGTAGAACGTCAGCCTGCAGAATGAGATGTTTCGGGTTCAATTCCTATCAAGGGCACATGCCCAGGCAGGTTGCAGGCTCCATCCCCAATGTGGGCCATTGACAAGGCAGTCAATCAATTACTCTCTCTCTTTGGGGATGTTTCTCTCTCTCTCTCTCTCTCTCTCTCTCTCTCTCTCTCTCTCTCTCTCTCTCTCTCCCTCCCTCCCTCCCTCCCTCCCTCTTCCTCTCTGAAATCAATAAAAATATATTAAGAAAACAAAAACAAAACAAAAATTTTTTAAAACAGTATAAAGGCATTCCCAAACTCCACATGTCTAAATCCCAATTTATTATTTGCTTCCCCACCTCCAACCATACTCCTCACATACTAACTCTTTCCAGAGTTACGGTACTTCCACCTGTCAGTCATTGGAAACAGACAAACAAAAACAAAAAAAATGCACCTCGAGTTCTCCCTTGGTTTCTCAATTTTCACATACAATTAATCATCAAGATTCTAAATATTACCCATTTCATTATGTCATTTGTTTAGTTAAGTGTCTCTCTCACTAAATTATGGGCTGACAGATAACAAGGAACCATCTAATGCATCTTTGCTTACCACTGACAATGCCTGACACAAAGAAGGTGCTTAATGTATAGATTGAAATTATTGTTGCAATGTAAAACATTCACAGATATTTTTAAATTGTTATAAATGTAAATCTGTAATATTTATTTCAACTCCAATTAAATTCTATTTAAAAAGATTGAAAAGAATAACTAGTCTCTCTCAGCTGGAATCTATGAATAAAAAAATTAAACCAACCCAATAATAAAGTTTTCTTCTCTATTATTAAATAAACTTCTTAAGAGTCTGAAAGCATTCTTCTCTTTCTAAATTTTTTTTGGTTCTCTTAGATTCCAATTGCTAAAGGTTTTGTTATTATAGTTCATATTATTGTCATTTTTTATTTTAGCCAAATGTAATAGGATGTTTTCATATCAAGACATATATTTCATATAGCAGTTTTATCAACTGATACAAATAAAAAAAACATTTTATTAACATACAGTTTTAACATATTGGTGTCTCAACTTTAATATGTCAACTTAAACAGTGTACAAAAAACTGCCAAATTTAAGTAAATCCAATCTAACTTCTATAGAAGTTTGTTATACTGACAATGGTATATTAACTACTCTATTTGTCTTAAGAATAATAGGTTACTATTCCCTAACAGCCATTCTAACAATGATAAAATTAAGTATATGTCTTTATTTACTACTGATGTTAATAACTGCCAATTTAAGTGTATGGGGCACATTATACAACATTATTGGGAGAGGTCAAGGGGATTTTTAAAGTTAAAAAATAAAAACTCTAAAGGAAATTAAATAGAAACTCAAAAGGTCTCAGACTCTAGACAAGGCCACATGACAGCAAACCTATAGAAGGAAAAGAAAGAGTTAAGGTCCACAAAAGGCACACAACTGAACACAGTTCCTGGTGAGACTCTAAATTAGAAACTGTACCCAAGGTGAAAGAAAAAATAACCAAAACTCTAAAAGAAAGTATTCTTTAGAATATGGGGTCTGGGTCTGGGGCCAGAACCAACACACATCTTTATAGGCTTCAACAGAGAACAGCAGTGAAACAGGCAAGCTCAGGGCAGCCCAAACCCAGGAGGTTCCCCAGCCAACTTCCTCACAGGGCTTTTCTTAGTAACTTTCCACTACCACCAGGAACAGAGGGATAAAGAACTGGAAAGGTCTCCTCCATTGTCCTCATGCAAGGAATCGACAATCTTCCCCATGCTTTTCCTTCCCTGCATTCCACTCATCCTGTAGGGTGCAGGACACCACTCTGAGCCGGCTTTTAATTTCAATTACATTCACTGAATGTCTATAATCTGCCCAGATCTGTGATAGTGACTTTAAAACTCTATTTATTTTTAATAGACTTTTTCTTGGGAAGAGGGGAGTTTAAAACTTAGAGAAGAATTGAGCAGACAGTATAAAGAATTCCCATATGCCCAACCTTACCTCCCACCACACACTAAGTTTTCCCATGATTAATATCATATATTAGTATGGTACATCTTTTAAGCCAATTACTAAACCAATATTGCCCTAGCCAGTGCATAAATCATCGACCTGTGGACTGAAGGATCCTGAGTTCCATTCTGGTCAAGGGCACATACCCTGGTTGCGGGCTCAATACCCAGTAGGGGGTGTGCAGGAGGCAACCGATCAATAATTCTCTTTCACCACTGATGTTTCTATCTCTCTCTCCCTCGCCCTTCCTCTCTGAAATCAATAAAAATATATTTTTTTAAAAACCACAATACTCATGCATTATTAACTAAACTCCACATTTATTTTCTTAGTGTTTAGCTAAGGTCCTTTTTCGGTTCTAAGATCTCATCCAGAAAGTCCTAACATTATATTTAGTTGTCATGTTTCCTTGGGATCCTCTTGGCTCTGAGTTTATCAAACTTCCCTTGTTTTTGATGACCTGGACAGCTGAAGGAGTACTGGTCAGGTATTTTACAGACTGTCCTTCAGTTTGGGTTTGCCTAATTTTTTCTCATAGCTAGACACAAATTATGAGTGCTTGGGAAGAAGACCAAAGCAGTGAAGTTCCATTCTCCTTACAATACAAAAAGCACATACTATCAACATGACTAATCACTGAAGATGTGAACCTTGATCACCTGGTTGAGGTAGTATTTGCCAGACTTCTCCACTAGAAAGCAGCTCTTCCCCACCACGGCTTCCATACTGAACTCTTTGGTTGGAAGGAAGTCATAATCATATGCAGCCCATATTTAAGGAGTGGGGTAGTTATGCCCTCCAAAACTTTTTCACCTATCTTTTTAATCTAGTCCTCTCAAAAAGCCTAAACAGATAAAAAACTGAGACTTAAGAGAACTTGTTTAAGGTTACAGAGCAAAAATTTAGTACTAGGGTTAGGAATCAAACCAAAGCCACCTGAACC